AAGATGATGATGTGTATTTAAAAAAAAATCATACTCATATAGGAAGTAGTGCTCAAGAGATGAATGCATAAAAGATTGTTCTTTATTATACAAAAAACAATGCATATGAAATATATTTTATCTTCAAACATTTATGAATTTTGAAAGCAATCCATTACATATTAATTCATAAAAAGAACTGCTGTATCATCATATCTTTAAAAAAATTACTTTAAATTTAGAAGTACTAAAGATGGGTGAATCAATAGAATTGTAATGATGGCTTCCTACCAGTAAATAATATCTCTTGGTGTCAATAAACTTCTTTCTGAAAAAGCTGGCACAGATTTATACCAGGCAGTTACAGTTAAATTGTACATTCAAAGAAAATGTGTCTCTGTATTTAAAAATCAAGTAAATCTGACAATGGCATAAAGATGAATGCATCTGTGTTGCCATAAAATTTATTGAACAATGATGATTTGATAGTGCAGGAATACAGGTAGTCCGCAATTTATGGTTACAATTGAGTCCAAAAGTTCTGTTGTTAAGTGAGACATTTGTTAAGTGAGTTTTGCCCATTTTATGACCTTTCTTACCACAGTTGTTAAGTGAATCACTGCAGTTGACAAGTTAGTAACCTGGTTAAGTGAATATGGCTTCCCCATTGACTTTGCTTGTGAGATGGTCACATGACCTTGGGACTTGCAAAAGATGATCACATGACCCTGGGACACAGCAGTGGTGATAAATATGAACCCATTGCCAAGCATCTGAATTTTGATCACATGATCATGGGGATCCTGCAAAGGTCGTAACTGTGAAAAGCGGTCATAAGTCAGATTTTTCAATGCCATTGTAACTTGGAATGGTCACTAAACAAATGATTGTGATCAAGAACTACCTGTACTGTTAATCAGCTACATTAGCTACAATGCTAGTATAAATATCTCTTTCTACTTTGTATGATCTTTTGACCCTCCCAAGATCCTCCAATTGGGAGCAAATAGTGATTTAACCGCTTAGGTTGCAGTGATCTGGGCACCTGATGGTCAGACTGCAATGTCTATTTTCATTTGAGGACAGATCAGTTACTGAATCTGAACCTTCTCATTCTTCTTTCTAACTATAACATTTTATGAAGCAGCAACAATCACTGTCCCTTGGCATGACTGCTGCAGTGCTACAGTTTACAAAATACTAGAGCTCCTGAGCAATAAATCAGGACCAGAAGTTCAGAAGGCAGTGATTCAGTCCAGGGTGAGCTTTTCTGTGCCAGCTAACGAGATAGCAAATTAGAAGTCTGCCAGTCTGGTTTTAAGAGACTTGGGCAGAACTGTTAAAAGAGAAGATTACTTTTAGGTACATAACATGATAAGTAAGTTTTCCAAGGATCTTGCCCAATAATCACAGACACGATAGGCTTTGAGTTCAATGTATTTATTTACTCCATTTCTTTCTATTCAGGTATTCATTTGGAACTGGTCCTGGACTTCTGCGCACAGCCTTATATATGGAGGAGGTGGAGTCAAGCTTAAGGAGGGGTTATGGGAAGGGCTAAGTGAGGGAGGAGGGATCAGTGGGTCAGTCTATGCAATGGTGTATACACAGTTAGGCATTTACTCGTAACATAACAATCTTCCAATCTGAACCATTAATCCCAGGAGTGACGTTTTCTCTGGACCAGTTCTGAAAAGATGTTCTGTAGTAGGTAAACTTAGTTTGTTTTCATGTCCGAATGCAATCATACTGAAAGTACCAAGAGATTTCATTGAGTGTCATTATGAGACAAAATCACCCTATGATACTACTAGCAAGCTATCAGTAGTTTAATGAAGCATGCTCTAATTGACAGCTCACTGTGAACTGGAGTCTATTTATGAGTTTTAATGTTTATCTGTTTTTGTCCTGGAGCCTGATTTATTTCTAACCTAAGTCATAAAGTGGTTTAGGCCTTTGAGAAACAGGGATATAGTTATTTTTTCCTTTATTATCCAGATATGATTATTTCTGCCAATTACATTATTTTTGGAATGGAACAGCAATGGCTGAACATAGTATAAATATTCAGTTATTACCATACAAATTAATTTTTGGAATATTCTCAATTATTTAATAAGTATTTTTACATCCAACTCATTCTTTAATTAGGCTTATAAATTAATGTTCCAAAATCAATAAATTGTAAATTAAAGTTCCTGCCATTTCTTAATACAATCCACATAAGCAATAAATAAATGATAGAATTTCCATTAGAATTTCCAAGTATCTTCAGCCTTGTATTGACTGTGTTGCAGTAGTTTAGATATAAGATAGCATGATCAATTGTCAGTGTTTTTAGTCCAAAAAGACCTACAACTGGACACCAATTGAAGCTGAATTGGCAAAGAAAAGAAATATGGAGGGGGAGGGGGAAGAGTCTGAGAGTGGGTCATAGCCAAGTCAAAATAGTTCTGTAGTATGGCAATAATATTCAAGAGGATCTTGGATTTGGGGATGTGTCTTTATTTGCTTATACTTTTAAAGTTTTTTTTTTTTTTTTACAACTTATGTATCTGTTAGTTTTCTCATAATATTTGTCAATAATTTCAAGAGTATTCTATCTAAGGGCTCTGGGACCACAAACAAAGGAGTTTGGAGACCATATACACTATCCCACTTGCTTCCCTTTTAAATAATATTAACAGAATTAAGTTGGCAGCATCTTCCCTGTTGATCTCTAGGGTTAGAAAGTTCCAATTTATAAAGTCATGTTTGTGATAACTAGAGCTGAATTTACTAAAAGTTATGTCTAATCCAGAAATAACTGAATTGGTCACAAGCTACATAAATAAAACTTAATCAATAAAATAGAAAGGTTCTAGAAAATAGATTACATTGAGATATGGCTCCTGCTTGAGCCAAAAGTAATTACTGCCAGATCTTTATTCACTAATACATAGACTCAGTGGGGTAACAGACATGGCAGATGGTATTTTTGTTACCTAGAAGTTGCCTGAAATATAATTAAAGACAGCAGATGGGCTAGAATTGGAAATGGGATAAATAATATGCAAGGAGTATAATTTTATTTATTATGTGTGTTGCCCTCTTCCTTCAGCTCTGTCAACAAATTGTCCAATGTTGTTGTCTAAATCAGAGATCAATAGTTTTTACTTTGCCAAACATCCAGGTCAGACTTTAACAAGGGGAAATGTAAAGTCAAGTTGAATTAGAATTGGATTAGTAAAAAGGGAGACAATGTCAACCAATACCCCAATCACCCCACCATATTTTTTAATTAAAAAAGTATATAAAAGACTCTTATAAAAGAGAAAATGAGGATTTATGAGGTAAAAAATTCTCACTCTATTTTCACATTAATTATTACATAAAAGAGACATTTTGCTGTAATGGTTCTATCCTACCTAATAGTTTTAACAAAGAGCTGAAGAACTCAGTAAGTTTACAGTCCAGAAATGGACTATCTTTGAATAATCAATAGCAGGGTTCTGCTAGGCAGTCCCAGCCCGCTGACCAACTCCACCTCCCTGGTAACTTGTGTGTGTGTGTGTGTGTGAGTGTGTGTGTGAGAGAGAGAGAGAGAGAGAAGGAGAGAGAGAGAGAGAGAGAGGAGGAGAGAGGGAGAGGGAGAGAGGGGGAGGGGGAGAGAGAAGGAGAGAGAGAGAGCGGGAGAGAGGGGGAGGAGGGAGAGAGAATGGTATCCTGGTGGCACTAGTCAAGCTAAGATGTTCTGGGATGCCAACTGCATGGTGTGGCCAATGCAGTTGGCATTGTTAGGTTACTTTAGGTTGGATTGAACATTTTGGGTTGAACTGAACAGACTAGGCTGCTCTTCTTCATGGAACATCTCCTGCAGCCCATGCTAAGCATATATAAGGTGCTCAGCGCCCTAGTCTTGCTAGACAGCACCCTCAGCTCTGATAATGTTGCAGACTAGAGAAAATGATATGGAGGGCCAAATGTTTGAAATCACTGACTTAAGACTTGCTTTATATTTTTTCAGTGTTACTATTACATGAACCGTAATCAAGAACAAGGAAAGAAACAGCAACTGCAGCAGCTATACACTTCACAAAAAAGATCCAAAGAAAATGCAAAAAAGAGAAATGTGGAACATTTTGTAATGAGTAACTCATTTTTTAAATTATAAGTGTTTGAAATTGTTTTCTCTACACATGTGGTTAGGCATCTTAAATTGTACTAAAGTTTATAATTTGTATTTATTTATATGTATAAGCTATGTCTTTTTTGCTAAGACAAGTTAGTCTATTCAAATTTTTAAAACTCTGTTCTCATTTGTCTGGGAACATATTTTCTCTATACTTTCTACATGCTATTTCAAAAGTTTATCGGCCCTTTAGGTAGTTAGTTTCATTATCACATTGCTCTATTAAGATTTTTTTTCCTGTTAGCCTGAGCTCTTTTGATCTGTTGTTTCCTGCATCCAGATCTGTTTACATCAGAGTGAGGAAATCTAGAGTTTTGGTCCTATTTTACCAAAATGGGGGTGCAGAGTCTCCCGTGAGACCACAGAGCTGCTTTATTATAAATCACATTACTGATCTGTTCCCATTATTTCTATGCAACTTGCTCCTGCATTCTTTTTCTTTGGATCTGTACTTGTAGAACTAACCACAATCCCCTTATACTTCAATCAAATATTTCAGTCAAAGGGCCATGGTAAGTTCTCTGCACAACTATACATGGCCTAAGTTGTTATTTATTTAATCCATATATTCTACATCTCTTATAAATTCCATAATACTATAAACAAGAGTTTCCAGATGATATTGCATAGGCCTGCTTAACTTCAGGAAGCCCACTTGATTTTGAGTCTCAACGTAACACACACTGCTAGATGTTTGTAGATCTACTGTCAGCCTGTAGGAAAACAAAATTGTCAAATAATTCAGGACCAGTCCAGTAATGAAAAATTTGGGGGGATTCTCCAAATTTTTAATGTAAATCTGTGTACTGAAAGAAACTAAGGAATGGGAAAAGAAAATGCAGGACAAATAGATGGTAAATATATTTTATTTCTTTTCATTTTTTAAATTTTTCCCACAAGATAAAAAAATATTACAGCATCAAAACTTCTGAAAAATGTTTTATATCGTTAACTGTCCCAGTTTAAGCTTCTTTATTAAAAATGGATTTCTTATTTTAAACAATGAAGACAGACCACAATGAAAATTCTTCATTAAAAAATATTCCTAATGAAGTTTTTGTTCTTATAGCGAGAACAAAGACATAAGCGATACCTCCAAAGATCAGAAGCAATCTTGAAAGTCTTACATGTATTAACTAGTGGTGCCATCTGCTGGAGCAAAACATGTTTCTTCATACTTTAGAAAAAGCTGTAGAAAGGGATCCAGCCAAAATGATGCAGAATGCTATTAAGAGCAGCAGATAGTTTTTCAGTCCCTGCATAGGCATTATGGGATGGAAAAGGGAGAACAAGAAGAGAAATAACATTATTTTGTAGAAATCAAAAGCAGTATTAGCACGTTTGACAATTAACATGTTTCTGGTACAGATGTACATGCACTAGAATATATTTTATAAGATTATTAGTGGAAAGATTATTATTGCCTACTTTTTAAAAATGGCATGCACATTTTAGGGCCACATTTAACTTTCTGAAGCTGCACTTCTACAAGTAATGGGTAGAAATATGACATAAATTAAATTTTAATGAATTTAATTTACATTGAAATTAGATTAAACGTAAGCCTCTTAATCTAATTATTTTTCAGACATGAACATAATTTTCCCCATCTATCATATTCAAAATAACAAATGTCTCACTTATCAACATACATTTTGGGCTCAATTGTGGTTGTAAGTCGAGGATTACCTGTACTCACATTCTAGACCAAATGGAAGAAACAGACATGCAACCCAATTATCTAATTTGTTGCCCCCATTTATTAAAACACACTAAATGTCATAGGAAAAGATGAAGATACTGTGTGTGGGGCAAAATTGCTTTCATTTATTCTTCATACCTTTATTTCTTTAAATACCAGCACTCCCCACACGGCAGCTATAAAACCAGGACCCTAGAAAACAAGTTCAATTAACAGTATCTATGAATGTAACATTTACTCCTGCTTTTGTTATATTTTTATCTATGAAAAAATATTTGCTTCAGTCTTGCTTCCACTAAAATGCAATCATTTGGTAAATGGTTGTAGATATTTACAAAGAAAATAAGACGAAGAAAGCACAAGAAAATACCATTTTTTGTAAAAATGATTTTGGATTATGATTATCTAAAATTTTATTATTGGCCTCTGAGTATATCTTGTATTTTAAACTAGCCGTATTATGTTAGTTAGGGCTATGCCGACATTGTATCTCAACTAAGAATGGGGGGGGGACCAATCACTAAACAGAATGGAGAGAAAAGAGAAATGCACAGGGAAAAAAAAAAAATGAGATGAGCAACATGAAAGGGAGAGAGAGAAGATGGAGCTGCAGTTTCCTCCCTTTTTGAATCCTGAATAACAGCTTTCTTCAAAGTTAGCATTATAGTAACTAAAAATTTAATGGTTTATAACTGATAATGCTATTAGCTGGTTTTGTTGTTTAATCTATATATTTCAGCAGCTGCACTAAGACTACATTAGAAATTTCTGCAAAGCAAACAGTTATACTAAAGTGATGATAAAGAACAGGTGAACATGCGGAAAATCCACAAATGCCTTCCAGTCGCTTATAAAGCTGTTTATTTCATTGTCTCTAATCAAAGCAGTTAATTTCGCCATCTCTGCTTTAGTCAATATTAAAATCCATTCTTCAACATTAAGTATCTCTTTTCCTGACTACTTTTACTGCCACTGTTATTTTATGTATTGGTAGAATGGGTACTACCACCAAGTTTTAAAATTATTTATTTATTATTTATTTATTTATTAGTCGCATTTCTATGCCGCCCAACTCCCTAGGGATTCTGGGCGGTTTACAGCAAATTACTTGCATATATGTGGGGAGTGATGGACTTTCTTATTTGTTCCTTCCACGATGTCATATTCTTGGAGAAGAGGTGGGAGAAAAAAATAAAAAGTCCTGTTCATAATTGTTACCCAGAGTAACAATTGAATATCCATAATTGAAGGAGCACTACAGCAGTACTCTACAGACAGAAATGCTACAGGATGAAATCCGACACCTTCAGCTTTGACAGACTTTGTGGGTAGCACTTTCTTAGTTTTTGACATCCTAAGCTTGTTAACCCTCCCTTCCAGGCTTCCTTGATCCGATCCTAGAGTTAAAAAAAAGGTAAAGGAATCCTCGTAGATTTTACTCTGCTAGTCCTTGCCAACTATAGGGGGCGGTGCTCATCTCTATTTCCATTGAGTCAGCGCTGTTCAAAAACATTTCTTTGGTCATGTGGCCTGCATGATGTTATGGAGCCCTGTACTTCCCACTATAGTGGTACCTATTTATCTACTTGCATTTACATGCTTTTGAACTGCCAGGTTGGCAGGAGCTGGGGAAGGATGGTAGCTCACCCCATCGCATGGTACTCATCCCATTGCATGGCACTGAGGTCTCAAACCTGGGTTACTGGCTTTCTAGCCAACAAGCCCAACGTCTTAAATGCTGAGGCACTGTGCTGCTCCTACCCTAGACTTAAACCACAACAGGACATTCCCACACTTATGTCTGCTCTAGCAATGTCAGATAGGAGAAACATGAAAAAAATAGGAAGGATCTGTTCTGCTCCCCCTATTTGGAGCTTTCTTGATTAATTCATAGATTGGAGGCAACTGTTTTGTATAAACAGAGCCAGATGAAAGTCAATTTAAAATTTGAGATCAAGTAATATTCTCCCAAGGAATAACATAGCATACAATGCATTGCATAGGAAGAGTCCTTGAAAACAGCATGAAACTTCCATAAAAGATATGCTTCAGCAGGTGCTCCTCTCCCATTTATTAACCAAGAATTTCTCTGATACTTACAGCAGTGATTATTGGGAAGCTCACAACAGCGCTGAGATAGTGGTTTGCTATAAACCAGCAGCAATTGGCTATTGCCCATAATGTGCCAGAAATAAATCCTGACGAGAGATAAGAAAAAAGATTACTATAGTATTACATCCTGGAGAGCTCCTGAATATTTTGTCATCATGCCATGCTCCTTCAAAGACACACGGAGTCATGGCTCTTCCAATATCTTTGGGATTTCCTTCCTTGATTTTTTTTCCTTATTATTTGTAGGAGGGGAGAAGATATTTCTGCAAATCCTGAGCTTTCTCTGTGCACTCAAATATCCTCTATCAGATCAATGCTATCTGGAGAAAGAATTTGTTATTTATATATACAGAATTTAAGCTAAAAAAGCTACATAAGGCTGGTGGGCAATTCCAAAGATAAAGAAGCAGTTAATGTTGAATCTTAAGACTATATATAAAATATAGTACAGAATTGTGGCTTTCATGTATTTATATGCATGATTTAGTTCTGATCCTTAAAATAGACTTGTATTAGTCTTCTAATCAAGTGAAATACAAATTTTGCTTGTTTTTTCTAATGTTTCTAATGTATGACATGCAAAGAATCAATATTTCTGAAGCTCTAGTTCCAGCAGACTGAGCTAAAGGGATTTATTTTTCTACTTACTTTATGTCTTTTCTTTATGAACGCTTAACAAGCACACTACATTAAATTAATATTCAATTAAGAATCTTGGTATTTGATCTCAAAAGGCACTAAAATCATGCCCAATATAGCAGACATCATTAAAAGGTACTTACTGACAAAATATGTATTCCAAAGTAGATTATAAATCTGAATAAGGTCTTTGCTTTTGCTTGAAAATTATACCTGGTATTATGGCTGCAGGATAAACCTTAGGGTTATTTTTCATTGCTGCACAATAGAGCAGAAAGTAGACAGTACTCGTAAGGAAGATGCCACTGAAGTGGGCAAATACATAATCTAAATCTGAAATAAATATCAAAAGATATACAATATATAAATATATATTTAAGACATATGTTCAGGAAGTTCACCAATGTTATTGATTTGATTAGTTAGGCAAGATCACATGTTGCAATCATTCACTGTTTATTAACTGGGACATTTTTGTTTTAATTAATAAATATTTTCATATCTCTATCAAAAATAAGCTGTGTAAATAGAAGACCCATAAAAGTTGGGAGTACCCTGGGCTCTAAGACTTAATAGTACCAGTGCTGTCTGAGTAAAAATAATGTCCTATTCCTATTATTATAACCTTTTCAGAAAACTGTGAAGCAAAAAAGCTCAGCAGCAAATATTATGGCCTTCAGTGAGTGACCCCTGGTAGTTATAGATGCTAAAGACCATTAAACAATAGAAACATTATAAAAAAATATATACCCCCCAACAGTCCCCCTTTTTAACTTTTTCTTTAAATTTTTAAAAAGTTTTTAAAAATATTGAACAATATTTTAAGACAATTCATTCATATACTGAAGCTATTTTATTCTTAAAATTATATCTTAAAATTGCTGCAAAGAGTGTTCATTTCTTTTGCTGAGGATGAGTAGTACTTGCAAACACTACTGTTTCAGAGAAACAGTAGTTTCTTCACTATAGAAGAAAAAGTCTACTGTCTATTTTGCATAGGGTGTTGGATCTTTCTCTCCTCCTTCTAGACTGACAAGGTTTTAGAGGATAGAAAATACAATGGAATGGGCAGCAATCCATTGAGATCTGAAATAGAGATTGCCCAGAGTGCTAAGGAGAGGGCAAGTCTTAAGATTTTGGAGCCTCTCTTCCTTAACATGTTAGTCTGCCCCTTAAATCCATAAAACAAGCAACACAACCAGCACACATAAAGAGAGTAAAGGGAACACTATACATGTGACCTTCAGTATCCTTACTTTCACTAGCCATACTTTCTTGTATCCAGGGTTATAAAATATATACTTAATGCAGAATCTACAATAAAAAGTTTCATTTTCCCACAATTTGGGATGATTTTTGATGTAATGTGTACAATTTGTAGACAGCTTTTTTTACTTATAAAGTATATTTTTTCATGGTCTCAGTTTCCACAGTCTGTTGGAGTTGCTTGGCTTGAAGAGAACCTCACTAAATAGCAAGGGCAATCTCTCACTCTGTTTTAATGTAATCAGAATTAGTATAATAGCATAGTATTTTTAAATCAATATATTTTCATAATCTGAATATATCAATAAATTTTTATTAATGTGATATTTTGGGGGCAAATCCTCCAAATGGCCATATATTTAAATCTATTAATAAAAAGAGTTTTAAATGTAACACAATAAATTTAGGATCAAGTCAATTGATTTAGAAGCAAGCAATTGATTTTAGGACAAAAAACTCCACTAAAAGATATCTGAAATCTACCTCTGAGACAAGTAGCATGAGGAATGTAAAAGGAAACATGAAAACAATTTCCCTCCCTTTCATATACCATAAACGGCCACAGTTCTCTTCTAGATATATGACTATCAGAAGAAATCATCTGTTTTTACCAAATTGACTGGCTCCTGTATACAGTGTCCCATTTCTTCTGCCGTGGTCCTTGATGTAAAACACAGGTACAAAACTAGAGCCATAGAATATCCCAGCTATCATAGCCAGAAAGCAGCCTCTGGCAGGAAAAGAAACACAGAACACAAACATTTTACATTGACTTAGTCACAATATTAATTGAACATGAAAACAACACTGCTGGAGAACAGCTACTGATTTTCAGAAATTATTATTTATGAGGAAACAGCAAAAGTTCTTGACTGCAACCAAATGTTTAGCTTACCAACTCTTTTGTCTAACAGGTATCACAGAACGCAAGAGAGGGAATAAAATGGGAGAGGAAGATGCCCTGGACTTACACCATTCTTTTTCCTAATGGAGAAAGGTTGTCCACCCAAGATACGTCACTCCTGTTTTCGACTCTGTATTCAGAAGTGTTGATAGACTGTTGATGAAAATCAAAACATTTAATTTTTTTAAGATTTCCAAACGCATTTGAATGCATTTAAACTTGGACTTAATCTACACTTGATAGACAGAACTCTGCCTAAGTGAATTGGGGTGCAATGAAAACTATTTTGTTTTGAAAATCCAGATCAGCACATTCTCCTTCTTCTTGAATTTATATCACCACTTATAATTAGGCAAATTATACATTATTTTGTAACTTTTCATTTCAAGTTGCAAATCAATGCACATCTTTCTAAATGAAATGTGAGGAGACATGAATTGAATTAAACGGTTAACATGCTTTTTGTGAAAAAAGAAGTTGATTATACATTAATGGAAAAGAGAACTGCCCCACTTGTTCCCAAAATAGTTGGAAGTAAAATCTATTAACACATATTCTCTGACATTATACAAATATAAGGTAAGAGCTGTGATGGCGCAGTGGTTAAAATGCAGTATTGCAGGCTAACTCTGCTCACTGCCAGTTCAGTTCTGACCAGCTCAAGGTTGACTCAGGTTTCCAATCTTTTAAGGTTGGTAAAATGAGGACCCAGATTATTGGGGGAAATATTCTGACTCTATAAACTGCTTAGAGAGAAGTCTGTAAATCATTATGAAATGGTATATAAGTCTAAGTGCTATTACTATTGTGTATCCTTAAACACAACCATTCGGTGGCTCTTGTTCCTTTTCTAATGCTGTTCACCGATATCCAGAGCCACTGTTGTTCAGCCCAACTGTAATTATATGATATAAATACAGTTAATATGCATTATCAATCCTTTCCATTCCTGGAATCCTTTCCATTCCTGTAGTACTTACTGCCAGATCTCTTGTACAAATGGTGTTAGAGTTTCTATTATGCCTGGGAATCAAATGAAGCCTACTATAAGGCAGGTGCTAGATTGTTATCCTTGCAGCCAAAAGATGTTGAGAACACAGAACTGGCTAGTCCAATCCTTGGATGATATTGGGCCACTTACTATTTTTCAGCATTGATTATTTCATATAATTGTTGTAAGTATAAAACAAGAAAGAGGAAAAGAATATGAATTTTGGATAAAAAAGTTGTGATACTAATGCTAATATTTATTTTAATATAATTAATTAATATAATACTAATTTATGAAACTTTTCAATGCTGTCTGCTTTCCACATCTTTTTTTTTTTAAGTTATGGAAAAAAATACTATATTCTTGAAGCTTATTTAACAGAATTTAGAGGAAAAGGTAGTCATTTGTCAAGTATCCAACAGAACAAATAGATGCTTTCAAAGATTATGCCAGCTGTTAGGCACATTCCCACCTCCCCCCCTTATTCAGCCTTTGATAAATACGTAATCTAACTTTTAAAAAGTCCTGTTTGAGTAGATCTACAATAGTGAAAACCAGCAGTCTGCAACAGATTCCTACAAGGGAAAGAAGCTTTGCACCTTACAAGGTTTATCACAAAGTTTTGGACAGCAAGTGGTTGGAATAAACCCCATATTGATGTTTGTTGCACAACAAAGGCACACATTTACTGGGGTGACACCCAGTGTCATGTGATAGTACTTTTACATCATTTTAAATCTTTTCGGACTGAGGAATCCTGGGAGTTGAAGTCTACTTATCTTTATCACTAATCCTGCTGCTGAAACAAACTTTTTTTTAGGGAAAAAAGTAGTTGATAGTTTTTCGCCACCACCTTGAAAACTATAACAATAGCAAAAAGAAACATACCTGTTCTCTTAATAATGGAGTGCTTTCTGAAGATGGTGAAGGGTTTTGAACCTCACTTTTTATGAAGAGAAATATGATGCAGCTGCAAAGAGAGAACATCAATGGTCATCCATATAGTTAGGCAGTACAGTATAAGCTTGAGGTAACTGGTGTTTTTCTCTTTACTTGCTGTGATATATTGTTCTTTACTAACTAAACAACAGCATATTTACACATTTTTTGAACATTAGTAATTTTAGAACAATCCAATATTTATTTTCTTGGAACATATACAGGAATCTAGTGAAATCCTTTCTAGTAAAACATGTTTAGATTGTAGTTTAGGTCACAAGAATAAAATAGAGACACTTTGATTCACCTGATTTTGAATGATTACCTACAGATATTTTAAAATCAAAGTATATAACCATTAAGAGAATGATAATGTTTTCAAAAACCTAAGTACTGAAAGTGCTGCTCCGATGTAATTCAGAACCGGTTTTCTGACTTCTTCTGGGTCAATTCCAAACCAACCAAATCTATGAAAGGTAGATTAAAAGCATGTATTATTTTCTCCAAGTTTCACAATGACTTTTCAGCTGTAGAAATGAAATTAGCACAGGGAAAGAATAAGAAAAAAAGGACAGAGTTACAGATAATCAGTAATAATAACTCTTACATGAATATATACACATATTTTTGTCAATACATATTTTTATATGACTAAAGTAGTGGCCAAAATTGTGGAAACCTTTTGGGAAAAGTGTATTTTTGAGGTTTGATGGCTAATAACACCACTTTTGGGGGGAGTTTCAAGATAATCATATTCCACTGCTGGAATGGCCCGGGAGTAGCCCAGACCTTAACCCAATTGAAAATCTATGGAGCTGACTAAAGAAACTTGTTAGTCAGAAGCGACTGAGCAATAAAACCCAGTTAATAGAAGCAATCATTCAAACTTGATTTTACATTATAACAGCTGCAGAACTGAAAGACTTGGTTCACTCCATGGGACGATGTTGTAAGGCCGTAATTCATGCTAAAGGTTACCCAACTAAGTATTAACTGACGCAATAATTTTTGTGTATCTCATTTTGTCTATGGTGATAATTTTTCTGTATCTCATTTTTTCTATGTGTTTCACTTTTCTTCTTTATATTGTAACTGATATTCTAATAACAAATCTTCATTGAAGTTATTGCATTACATTCTTGATTAAATTATCTTTCCATTGATGTATATTTTTATGATACTACTCCAAAAAAAAGTGGTGTTACTAGCTAGTTTTAGAAAATACACTTTTCCCAAAAGGTTTCCACAATTTTGGCCACTACTGTACATACTCCTCTGCTTGTAATGAATTGTGCAAGAGGATTTATATTCAGATCAGATTTTTAAATATTAGCATACTGGTTATATTTGAATGTAATTATTCCATATTTATTTGCTCCTATGATGGCTCAAATAAATTTTAGTCCTCTTTTGGCAGATTATATCTTCTCCTCTCAATCACCCACCATTAAATTGTATAAGTTCACCATAAATAAGAGCATGTAGAAATGCTAATACACATTAAGCGCTCCTTAATAAATGCCAGTCTGTTAGAAGCAATTATATGTTTGTATTGCAGAAGAGCTTTAAAATGTTAAAAAAATTTAGATCAGAGATTGCAACATTGACTTCTTAAATGTTATTGAATTCTATACTGTATACCGTAACTGCAGCTTGATTATTCCTGCTACATGCAGATATACAAGTAAATGCTTTCTGATGTTGAACATATCATTCAGCAACTTCTAAAAAAACACTCCACAGGCTGGGGGTTGGGGACCCCTGATGTAAAGAAGAATTTTTTTCTCCAAGAAGTTTATTTTTGATCTTTGATTAAATGATACAAATATATGGTTGGCTCCAAGAATAAATGTTAAGTATGCAGCATGTTTACCTTGAACTTGCCCAGCCAGTTAGCAAGTTAAAAGAAGCCCAGATTAAAAGACCAAGGCCTAACCCAATGGTTTTAACAATAGGAACAACCGTTACATTACCTGCACACAAGAATGAAACCCATTGATTAGACAGTAGTAGTAACATCTATATATTTGCATAATTATAATGACCTACAATAATTACCATTACCACTTTTAATGCATATTATGGTTTGATAGGTAATTGTATGAATATTGGGCATGCGTAACTCATATTCAAATGCAGAAGGGATATGTAGGATTTTGCAGATTATGGTAGCTTTATTTCTTACTATGCTCATCAGCTATGAACTGTACTGACTACAATGAAACGAAGCATAATTCACAAACATTATACATTATACAATCCTACATGTAAGGGAGGATAGTACGGGAGGATAGTGAACAATAAAGAAAATTATATAAAGTAGTTCTCCACAGATACTTTAATATATCCAGAGGACCCTCACCACATGATGCCTGTATTACAGTGGACAAAGCACTGTTATTAACATCTGCTGCTTGCAATTACTGCAAGTTCAAATCTCACCAGGCTCAAAGTTGACTCAGCCTTCCATCCTTTCAAAGATAGGTAAAATGAGGACCCAGATTGTGGGGGCAACAAGCTGACTTTGTATAAATATACAAAAGTATGAAGGCTATTGCTTAACGCATTGTAAGCCGCCCTGAGTCTCCGGAGAAGGGCAGCATATAAATTAAAGCAAAAAAAAAAAAACCATGATGAAAAGGTTCCTGGTGGGCAGGGCACATCAAATGTCTCCCCTGAGAGCTTTTAGGCTGACCCCATTATATTATCATATCTAAGTATTTTGTTTGATACAAATACTTTTAAAATATAACCTGTTATTTTCTAATATGGAAAATTAATGAAAATATTTTTATAACTTACTATATTAATGTTATTACTGCTTTATTCTCTCTGAAGAAGCTCAGAATGGCATGCTAAACAATTAAGAACAATTTCTAATAAAGACAAGTACATAACATCATTAAAAACAAAATAAATCCCCATAAAACAAGACTATAAAATATTAACTAAAATCTAAATATCATTTAGATTTCAGAACACTTGTTACCCTGCAAATGCCCAGATAAAGAGCAAATCTTTACTTGTACTTTAAAATAAGTGCCTTAGGAGTCCAATTGCAGTGCTGCTATTGCAATCACAAATTTTCAGTGAGGAAAAATATGGCTGTCATGAATGACACAACAGTTGATTCATTGTCTCACAGATAATCACAAAGCTTGTCATAACTCAGATTACAACTCAATATGTTGTCAAGCTTACGTTTTTTATATTTTACTGCACTCCTATAAATCATGCAAATTATGATAGATCTTTCTCCAATAAATTTGATGGAGAAGGATAATTTCAATATTACCTGTAGCCCATAAAAAGCCCCCAACCATAGCGAGAGGCCAAAACCTAGGGCTGTTCTGAATCAGGTTAACAATTAAAGAAACAATCCAGATAGCAGCACAAAGAATCCACTGGAAGAACATTCCTAGAATAAAAGAAGAGAACAAAAATTATAAACTACCAATATAGTTATTACTGATTAAACGTCTGCAACATCATGAAACGTTTACAAATGAAACTGCAGCAATGAGTAATATAGAAAAAGTAATGTAAGGTGAAGAAATAAAACCATTGAAGCAAGAGGTCATCTGATCAAGCTATATATTAAATACTCAAAATTTGTTAGTTGGCTTCTTGTATTCTGAAGATCCAAAATATGGTCCCTGCCTAGATACTTCTGAACATCATCAGCATATTCTTTATCTCCAAAAAGTCTCTAATAAGCAACATACCCTTGAGGATAAATAGCAGGTGCTGAGGAAAGAGAAAACTGAGTCTAGGGGGTCAAGCTAGGAGCACGTTTCTAGATGAAGAACCCATAACAATTTTTCATTCTAAATAAAAGTGTCTGATCTAAGCATGTGTTTAAAAATAATGTGATTAATATAACATACAACTTAGTCTAGTATTATGGAAAAACCAATATTCAATAAATACCCTTTTCACAAAAGCTTGAAATAGACCTGAATTGAAATAGAAGATACTTTGTTCCTTTACCCAGGCGAACAAAATAGCTTCTAGACCAGACATGTCAAACTGGTGGCCTGCGAGCTGGATATGTCACGTGCAAGCCATTCCCACCCTGACTCTCCAAAGAGAGAGTTGGGGCAAAAAAGGCAAAGGCAAAAAAGGCAAAAAACGTTGCAATACGTCACAATCAGGCCCGTGATGTGATCAAGTTTGACATCCGTGTTCTAGACCATTTATCTAGTTCCTATGCACTAGGCAACAATATGCAAGAAATATCAACTACTCATTTGGTTGAAATGGCAATTATCATTGTTTCAATTTCTTCCCTAAAAAAAATTATTAGATTAGGGCAAATTAGTGGACATGACAAAACCAGAGCTGATTTAATTTTATTTAAATTAAACAAAAACAATAAGAGCTGTACACTTACAAAGATAGATTTCATAAAGTTTCCTTTATGTTATGTTAAAATACGATTTTTACAGTATTTCATAGTAACTTTGGAACTGTTAGTGAAATGCTTCAGCCCACCTAGAAGTATCTTTTATCTATCCTATCTAGTGAAAGGTAGATATTAGCTATAATTGCTTAAAGGGACTCTTTAAGTGAACTTCCAACTACTTGCACACATCATGATAACAGCAATTTTGTTTTAAGATGAACATTTTACCATCCCCAGTGTCAAACTTCTTCACCGGTACAAAGTTTGATCCAAATAAGACAACAGCAACTGCTGAAGAAATAAAGCCAATCGTCAGATCTGTTGTATTACTGCTGACAGAGTAGGGGATCCCTTCCCAGGTCTCCATTCTGCTTTTAGTGCCTGACTTGACTTCTCTGGATTCCCTTTCTTCAGGCAGCACTAGAAGGAGAAAACCATGGAATAAATGACACATCACAATATTTACAAAGCCCTCATGCTAGTATTATAATATGATAGTCCCCTTTATTCTGATTTGTTACAATTAGCTTTTAGGTAAAATTAAAGCAGTAATTCACAACAAAGATTTTATTTATTTATTAAATTTATACGGCACCCATCTCACTGTCAAGCAACTTTGGGTGGCTTACAGCAATTTAAAAGCATAATATAAAACAATAAGAACACTAAAAACATTCAACATTAAGAATAAAACATTAAAACTCACCAAGAATTAGATAAAAGGGACTAATGCGTAAGTGGTGCAGAGGTGCAATCTTCTAATCTATTTACCACTGCCAAAGTGAGATACCCCCATTGGGAACTCAAACCAATTGGTAGAGCCAGATATTCAGGCCCTTTTGGAAGGCCAAGAGGATGGCGGCAGACTTCACCTTGAGGGGCCACAATGTTCTCTTCTGGACCCACCAGCCAAAATTCTTTGTTGAGATAGATAAGGTAAAATTAATAAAGATAATCTGTAAAAAATGGATCATCACCAATAAAAACACTTACAAAAGCAATACAAAACTAATCTTGAAGCCTAGGCTATGTCATGTTAGAGAGGGGAAAATGGGACCAGGGCCATGATTTTTTTTCATTTTGTGGCTTCACACTGAAGTTCACACATTGTTTTATCATTGCAAAATAATGCTCATCCATGTTCAGTTGTTTATATGTAAGCTTTGCCTGTGGCTGGAAATTTCAGTAATGTGAAATCTTCAGTTATGTGTTAACAGTGATGGTACTGTTAAATAGGAAACCAAATTCTGGAATTGATGTTCATCTCATTCTGGGAGACAGCTGCACTTTTCTGAAAGTATAGATCTAGTGTCAGACACTCCTTGACCCTCAGCTGTCTGTAGATTCCCCAGGATGCGGCAACAAGGCTTATATCTAGTATTGCAGTTTTGACGATTTCTAGATTGGCTTGACTGAAGATAACGTCCTAATCTGACTAATATATTGAAATTTAATGTGATCACTCGGTGGTGCAGCGGACTAAGTGCCGTTAAGTGCTAGCACTTAGCTGCCAGCTGCCTGTAATTAGTGCGAGTTCAAAACTCACCAGGCTCAAGGTTGACTCAGCCTTCCATCCTTTCGAGGTAGGTAAATTGAGGACCCGGATTGTGGGGGCAATAAGCCAGCTTTGTATAGAACAACACCGCTTGGGGGGGGGAAAGCCCTAATAAGCAGGTATATACATAAAAAGTATGCAGGCTATTGCTATAATGCATTGTAAGCAGCCCTGAGTCTACGGAGAAGGGCGGCATATAAATTGGACTAATAAATAAATAAATAAATAAATCACTTAAACATCATCTGAAAGCTTCAATTGACGCTAAATGTGGCAGACTGACTACCAATGGGCAATAAGCAGGAACACATTATATACCTACAGTATGCTGAAATACATCCTGATTATCAGCCAGGTCATTTCAGTCTTATTTAGCTGTAACAGTAAATTGAACTGCTTTTTTGAGATTCAGTTTCGAAGTTACAATGGCATTGAAAAAAGTGACTTATGACTGTTTTTCACACTTACAACTGTTGCAGTATCACCATGGTCACATGATCAAAATTCAGATGCTTGGCAATAGACTCATATTTGTCCCGATGTCTTATGGTCACCTTTTGCGACCTTCTGACTAGCAAGGTCAATGGGGAAGCCAGATTCACTTAACAACCACATTAGCAATTTAACAACTACAGTGATTCACTTAACAACTACGGCAAGAAAGGTCATAAAATGGGGCAAAATTCACTTAACAAATGTTTCGCTTAGCAACAGAAATTTTGGGATCAATTGAGGTCATAAATCAAGCACTACCTGTTTATGGATTTTTATTTTGGCATTAGTGCACAAAAGATGTTACCTAGCCTGCTAATGAAACATTTACAGGAAAACAACCAAACTCAGAGAATATGAAGAAGCCAAAGCTTTTGCTTTATTTCTTGTAACCCAGCTTGTGTGCCTCTTGAGCAAAACAGCAAGAATAAACTGAAAAAATAAACACACAGATTGCCCTTTCAAATAGTGTAGCAAATACATATGCCATTGCAGGCAACATGCAGATACAAGGCTTAGGGATGAATGTAATTTCTGCACTGTGATTTTTACACAATAGTAGTCTTGTAAGTTTTCATAACTACTCTCAACATGGCTCTGTAAATAAATTTTCAGGAAAAGAGGGTTGGGTTTTCAAACAAGACTCAAAAGCACAGTATGTTATGATATCTGAAAATAGCTGTGTGTTTTCAGTTTACACTACCATGCAATGATATTAGTAGAAGCATTTCTAGCAGATGGTTTAGTTCTGAAGTCAAGCAATTCAAAACTTTTTTTAAAAAAATGAGATGATCTAACGTGAATTTGATAGTAATTGTATGTGGGCTTCTTTTTCCTGCCATCTAATCAGCTCACTACTGAATTGTGTCAGATGATGGATTATAAATCCAGGGTCTGGGAAGAAGCAGGTAGGTGAAAACTACTTTAGTGACTGAATGCAGGATGAATTTATTCCACCTTTCCTCAACCTTATAATTCACTAGAGTACAACGTGAAGAATACTTAGCCAGCTTGCTCTGTGGACAGTGCTGGTATATACCATTCCAGCACATTTGGAAAGCACAAGGTCGGGACCAACTAGTTACTAGCCTATCCAAAAGCTTTGGTATTTGGATAATATCACGATCGACTTTGCATTGTCTCTACTTGTTTAATCTTCCCTTCCCTTCTGTTTGCTGACAAATTACAAAATTTAAGCCGCAGAGACCACCACCCGTCAATGCAATTCTTTGTTTGCAGTTAGTAGAAAGGCAAAGGTTACCTTTCGTACACTGATGTTACTTTCAAGACAGCCTCCCGGCTCTTGCTTCCTGCTTCGATTATTTCAAGGGCCAACAGCTGTAAGAAACAAGGAGCTCCGCCCAGTTCTCACATGATGCCTCGCCACAGTCAGAGCCCAGCTGCCGAAGTCCAGACCAACACGGCGGGGCAGCAGAAAATGGCTCAGGCTTTGCTGTAACTATTTGCTGCCGTTTCGCGGTCATTTGGATTTTTGCAGCCCAGCTCTAGTAGGCAGGTGGCCAAACACGGCGTACTTTTAAAAAAGCGCGTTCTTGGCGTGGGTCTCGTTGCCTGCAAAGGATTTTGTCCAAAGCATAAATAATATGCGGGAAGGAGACCCGGCGCGCAAAAGACTTCCACCCTCCCAGCGGCGCACCCAAAGACAAACTCTCGCGTCAATTCTTAAAGCTAGGATCCCGCGAGATTAGAGTAGAATATATATATATATATATATATATTATTGCTTGGTGAAAGGGAGTAGTATTAAATTTAGGCTACCAAGGTAGAATAATTACGTGGCTTTGTTAGACAGCTGCAGGAAGAAAAAGAAGAAATCCTGTGCTATTTTTTTAAAGATTTAAAGATTAAAACATTTAAAAGACTTCATAGATTTTTGTCAATTTGTATGTTCGCAACGCGCATCATGGCACAGTCCAGCTGGTCGCATTTTAGTCCGATGCGTCGTGTGAAATGTGCCCGCTTGCTAACACTAGGATTGTGTTCTGGGTTTTAAATGACCAGCAGCCATTGAAATGAAGACATTGGCCGCTTTGTATTTGCTACATCTTTTTAGCGCTGAACAAAATCTGCAGGGCAATGCGCAAAAATGAAGATAACCGTTTAGTCTCTGATCAGCTGTGACCGAGACAAAATGTCCTCTTAAACCAGTTATTGAGGTGTCTTCAAGCCATGGTTAGCAGGACATAAGGATATGCAGGACATAAGGATATGTCCCAGTAAGTCACTGAACAACATTGTTGGGAGATGCTCTAGTCTAGCTAGCTTGTACTAGATTACTAGATTTGTGGTGCAAAACTGGACACGGGAAAGGAAAAAGTTCATTTTTTCACCCTCTTGTTTACTGCCAACATCTGAATTTTTGCAGACCAGATGTACAGTATAATCTTTTTTCTGTTAGGTTTATTTTACCATCATACTAACACATGAGACATAGGTTGAGAGATAGGTCGATATCCTTGAGTCTGAAAGCCAAGTCCAAGTAACCAATTTTAACTTCACACATCAGAAAAGTTAAATTCTTCTCCATAGATGAGTGAACCAGAAAACAGCTTATGCTTCTGAATTACATAACGCTTTGTCTACTGCAGCAGCCCTAAATTAAAAACAAAACTATTTTTCACACAAGGAAGAATATTAAGCTAAGAACATTGGTGTAATACTACTAATATGCCTCATTAGCTATTCATTGTTAATCCAGTTACTTCAAAAACCTATGTATATTTCTGAGATCTCTAAACAGCTACACTAATCCATGAGTGTATAAAAATTAAATGTAAGATTACATGCATATCTAGTAGGGTTAATTTGACAATCTGCTGATGCTAACTATTAGCATTGGCATATATTGCACAAGAACAATGAGTCTGTGATTCGGTTTCACTTAAGTATTGGGAACCGGTAGTATGTATTATTTTGATACAAATTGAATAGAGGTGTTTGGATCTAGCATGACCATCTTCTCTCTACCCTTCTTAAAATCAAATCTTTTCTGTATTATAGTAGTTGTATGAGCTCAGTTATATATAATATGTAGGTTGGGAAAGGTGGTGGGTGTATGCCAGAGATGTCTTGCAGCTGTATGGGTGGGCAATGTAGTTTGAGAAGATACCTGTGGGTGCATGGGACGTGCTTTGCAAGTCAGAAGGAGCATGAAGGGGGTGACATGATTGAGGAAGGTGTATGGGAGGTCAGTATAGATCAGGGGAGCATGCAGGGGATGGGGATAGAGTGGTCTGGAAAATGTGCCTCCTTCGCTCCCTCCCTCTTAACGTAAATATTATTCAAATACATATATATTTCGAATACCTTTGTATAACTATCATTCATTTTCAACTTACTATATTTTGTATAAATGAATTCCATATTTCATTATTCTTGTCCAAAATCTACATCTATATGCAATCCGCTCATAGGTGGCAAGTGAAATCAGGTCATCAATCTATTCAGTGAACAGAGCCATACATCTATCTTTCTAATGCTGCAGTATTAGTCTTTTGACAATACATTGTAAGGGCACAGAGAATCCACTTAGGGTGTCCAGATATGTCAAATATGTAATAGCTATGTAATTCAAGAGAATATTATCCTCTGAAAATTTTAATTTTTATTGTACAGTCATATTTATATAATTATTGCTTTCTTGCAAAATTTAGTAAGTAAAAGTAAGTAAGGAAATTGTAAAAACGTGCTTTGAAGAAGTATTAGCCTTAATACATCTCTAACAAAAGGATGTCTTAGACAGACTTTTTAAATTTATATGTAGTGGAGACCAATAAATTCTAAATATGATTTTTGGTACTAAAGTTATAGCATATGGTCCACAGACACTCTCAATATAGAAGTTATATACACTTTCTCCATTTTCTAGGCAATATAGGAAACTCTTATCAAAACTCTACTATATGTCTCTGTTCACCATTATTCTTGGAATGCCGTTATCCCGCAAAGTTTGCCCATTGGCATGCCTTGATATTCCATGGGAATTTACTGGGATTTGTGCTTTCAGCATCAATTTTGTTTACAAGAAAAAGTTGGGGGGAGAGGGAATGATACATGGCTACAGTCCAAAGATATTTGTTAAATCTTGTTAAAAATATCTACCTGTCCAGGAAAAAGGAAAAGAGACAGTTTATTAGGTGGTGGACAAGCAGATGATCTTGAACACTCTCATCAGTTTTCATTTTTGTAAGTGGCTGCCTTGTGAATAGCTACATTAGGCAGAGTAGACATTTATGGTCAGGTAAAATTTCCCCTGGCATTCTTCTCCTTTCAAAATTCCCATTTACTTATTGCTTTCCCCAATTATTTATCATTTAATTAAACACAACATTGTTTTCTTGTTCTGTTCCTCTCCTCTACTGCTTCCCTCTATTGACAATTTCAAAACTAAGTATTTTGGGACATTGTTGTACAATAAACTCATTAAAGAATCTTATGTGTCTCAAGAAATATGCTTAATTTTGCAGCCACAAATTGTAATAATATATTAGTTTTTTGTTTTTGTTTTGGTAGTAAAGATGATGGTTCTGGGGTTTGTTCACTAGGGGGCCCTCAAAACTTACATAGATCTAGCGTTCTGTTTTAGAAGCAAGACATCAGGCTGGGCTTTCCCATTCCAGAAATTAAAATAGCTTAAAAGAAATGAAAAGTTCATATAACTTTGTGGCAGTCAACTAGGAACACCCATCTGGGATAATCAGAACATGCAGAAGGAATATGGATCTGGAATGATCTTCCTCAAACAGAACTGCCTTGATAAATGAACTGCATACATCAGGGGGGGAAAAAAACAGGTCGAAAACATCAAAAACTTGTTTATTATTTTGTAATATTTTATTCAATTTTAATAAAAGTATTGACCAGTTGGTGGATATTTTTTCCTTGGAAGAAATGGACTTCTTTCCTAAAGGTTTTGCTAGTATTCATTACTGCTAGAAATTTTTGAGCTAAGGTTTGGGCCAACTGTCGGTAAGATTATTCTAAACTTTATTTTAATAATACAGTTACTATAAGTGAAAGATTTGTTGTCTCACATGCTAAGTTTTTGTAGCATCAGAAAATTATGTTCATTTGTAAGAATTATAATTTTTTTTAACAGATATACTATGTGAACACATCAGTATAATAGTATTTTTAGACTTAGGAGAATGCATTTATAATAGAATATGCACATGTAGATAATTTACTCATGCAATTGTTTATATTTGTGTTTGCAGTGTAATAGTGTTGTATTGAAAAAATCTAGCCATTGAAAAAAGGAAGAATTTTTGCTTTATAAAAAAATGAATGCCTAAATGGATGTAAACCCGTGAAGGTACATCTTTCTACCTAACTAGTATGTTTTCCTTTAGCTAAATAAAGTTAATTTTCCTGCATAGTCCTTCACTGATTAATGAAATATAGTTCCATGTTAACTAGAAGCAATAGGTTGAGTGATTTCTATATATCTTCCTTGCCACTAGCATGGGAAAAAGATATACCAACTATCTTTTTTTTTAAAAAAAATGCCCTTTTCTGAATGTTGTTAGTGATATGAACTAATATGAACAGAAATTTTGAAAAATAAATTCATTTCAGATTGTGTTTCGGGATTACTTTTATAGTTTTGTGTTAATTTGACATTTATAACATAAAGTTCCAACCTTTTCTTCCTTTTAGCAATGTAATTACTAGCTGTAGTCTTTAAATGAAGAGATATACATGATTTAAAAATAACCATGTGGGTAATGATGACTGTAAAATGATATTTATCATTCTTTTCCTTCTAACAGTTCAGCAGTCCAGAAGGGACTCCCAGACTTTTCATACTGTGACTCAGTTAACTCTGTTTATACAGCCAACTCCATTCATTCACTGAACTCAATCACACCCTTTGAGGTGGCTGAAAGATTTTAACAGCTTGTCAGGGTACGCTGTCAGATTCATTAGAACTGAACATTTACAATTGTTTGGCATTTTCAATGTGTATATGCATAGAGACATGCACACACAACAGCTGGAAAAAGAGGTGGAGACATCTGGTCATTTAGAAGGCATGCAGCATCATCCTAGCTGGCGACCAGTGGATTCTTAAACTACTTCCATCATGTTGATTCACTGGAGAAATGAGCTTCCTGGTTCAGACATGCCAAATTATCAACAGGCTCTTTTGTTCTCTGTGTTCACCTCGATTTTTTTGGAGTGGCAAGTGCTCAAGGACCAGAAGGAATTTGCTTTTGGGCACTGCTTTTGTGATATATTTGGGCTTCCTTGTCAGTCAAGTAGGTCGTGTTGTACCACAACACAGAAAAGGACTATCAAAAGCAAACACTTGGAATCTTCAAGATGTTGCTCAACCTCATTTTTCTGAAATCCCAATGGATAGCACCTGGTCATTTTCTGACCTTGAAAAATCTAAAATGGGGACAGATAACACATCAATGTTGCCTAATGTGGTATACATCACTTTGCGATCCAAGAGAAGGAAACCTGCCAAGATTCGGGGCACTGTGAGGCCCAAGCAAAGAAAGAAGCAAGTATTACCTTTGCAGTATGGGAATGAGAATTCACTAGATGGCATAATCCAACGTAAGCCATTTTATGGTAAATCTATGAACAAGAGAAAAGGAGGAGCAGTTCCAGAGAAAGCTAGGCAGAAACAACAGCAGAAAGAAAAACAAATGATTCAAAATATAAAGCATTGGAGACCTGAAATGACTATAAGAGGCCTAAATGTTCAAACTAATGTTCAGGAGAGCAATATCAGGATGTACAGTGAGAGTCCACCTTCTTGGTTGAGTAAAGAGGACATCCTAAGTATGCGTTTTATGGCAGATTCCAAAATAAATAGTATCCAAGAAGTGCTTACCCAACATGGAGTACTTCTAGTATTTGGGAGAACACAGTTTGATAATAAGTCAGCCAAAGAAGACATATGCAGTCAAGGTCACTGTGGCATCATCGGGAGACCACTTGAAATGAGTGAAGTGTTCGCTTTCCATTTGGATAGGATCCTAAGGCTGAATCGGACTTTGCCTACCATAAGCAGAAAATTGGAATTTGTACAAGGTAATTAATTTACTCACTTCATTGGAAAAATAGAACATTCTCTCTTAGAGCAAGCTTTTATCCTTCAGTAGCATCAAGAAATAAATGTTATTAAATACGCAACAGCAGAAGTTGATGTAAATCTGATGCCTTCCAGATTTTTTTGGCTGATTCTATTCAACCTCAGTGAGCATATCATATGGCAAGAGGCTGTGGGAGTTACTGTCCAAAACATCTGGAAGGATTCAGATTGCCTGTATCTACTGCCCAGTCAAGTCACAATATAAATTGCTTGAATAACCAAAATTTCAGATATTCAACTAAATTAATTTTCTTAATTTATCAAATGTCACACTATGATTACAATGTTGAGTGGGTGGGTGATCTATTTTATCCATATCAAATATAAAAATTCATGTATTATAAGAAAGTAAACTTGGTCAGGAGAACATGGAGTTATTAGATTACATTAAGATTCTGGATGCAAAACTTGGTTTGAGTTTAATTTCTTTAGATAGAAAAGTACTGTATGGGCCAGATATTGCTGCCAGGGCATATATATCATCTAATATTTTAGCTGTGTAGTCTCTATCACTTGTGAGATTTTTGCAAAAGTGCAGAATAAATCAGTGCTCTTTACAGAGATTGCCAAATAACTTTACCTAGTGATTTGTGTGCTAAGTTTAATTGTAATAATACATTGCAATTCTACTTCAAACAGTCCAAGGTGATTTGACAAAGTCAAGAATATAATGAAACACTTGTTCTTTTTCACTGCCTTTATACTTTTATTTTTTATTGTAAAAAGCAACCATGAATGTACAATGTTGGAATTTTCTATGATAGCCAGACTGAATACTACGAACCATCATTTTTTGCATAGATTCTTGCTATCTGCACCAATGAATTTACTTCTAGAAAAAATAGTTTCAATAAGATTTTATCATGTAATTATGACTTTGTATCTCACCTTTTAAACTAATGTATCACTAAGATAATACAACATGAATTGCCTAATAAGCACTAAACTTATAAGTGACCTAACTTGTGCACATTCAGTTTTTAAATCTCAAAATGAATGCCCCTTTTTAATTCCACTGTATTGCTGAACTATGACTTCAACTGAAGCAATAGTCATAATATAATTATAGGCAGAGAAGACTGAAGTACATTTGAATGAAAGAGTCCTAAAATAGTTCTCCATTTCTGTACCGATTCTTTCCTAATGTGGTCACAATGCTATTTTATGTAAAATTTCTAATCAGTGTATGTTTTATTAAAGGCAAAGAAAACTAGGAGAAATTGACTAGGAAAACATTGCTATAAGCAGATTTAAAAATAGTCTATGTTTTAATGTCACTTTTTGGGTCTCTGAACTGAAAACATCAATAGTCTGAGTGACTACTTAATAGCTTCTAAGAAATATTCAGACTCTAAAAGTACAGAAGTCACACTATTCATCTGTTATTTTTAGGGAAGGGTTTTACTAGTGCAAAGCTGGTGAAGAAAATGAGGTAGTTCGGATTTCAGGGTCCAGGATAGAGAATCATGGTCTGAGGCCTTCTGTAAATTGTAGCAGTTGTTTTTAAACTGCATAATCATTTGTGATTGTCAAGAAGTAAAAAGGCCAATTCAGCCTTTTTCATTCTCTATAAAGATAGAGAACGGTTGCTAGGTGATGATGTGCAAGAGGAAAAGTAGCAGTTTTCCTTTTTGTCATTTCATTTATTATTTATATATTTATCAAATTTCTATATCGTCCATCTTACTTAAAGTGACTTTGGGCGATTTACATATAAAAATTTGTACACTTCTTGTTACGATGCTTCTTAACTATAAATAACATTAAAATGGGAAACCCTCTTTACTGTTTTGGATCTTAAATTCCAATCTGAGCTATTGGTAGTTATGCTATGAAAAATAAAGGTAAAGGTTTCCTGCGTCCAGTCGTGTCTGACTCTTGGAGGCCGTCTTCATTCCTGTTTCTGCCAGCGTTGTCAGAAGATCCTTCTGAGGTCATGTGGTCAGCATGACTATACACCAAGGTGCACAGAACGCTGTTACCTTCCCACGAAGTGGTCTTTATTTATCTACTTGCATTTGCACACTTTCCAACTGCTAGGTGGGCAGGAGCTGGGAAAATAATGGCAAAATATATCAGCACAAATTAATGGCAACTCTTGGAAGATTTTATTTCTTATAATAAGCATGGACAAATCTCCCAATATGTTTTGGGTTATATAGTCTATCTCTAATTTGTCACTCTTAATGTGGTTACTGATGTGACAAGTTAGAGAGAAATCTATTAATAGAATTAATTTTGTATACTTTTATATATGATTATGCTATTATATTTATCTAGATAGTTCTACTTATATAGCTTTAAGATAATTGATTCAGAAAGTCAGACTGAATGAGAATATTAGTTGCTATAATAAATGAATTCATAATTGCCTAATGTTCTATGGATCTCTTTTGTGTCTTTTATTTTTCCTTAAAATGTTGTAAATTTTCTGTATCAGAATAAATGTGGTTTATTAATTTACTTTATAAACCTCTCTTATTCAGAGTATCAAATTCAAAATGACAAAAATCAAAATAAAACAATTAGCATTATATAAAGTAATAAACATGGAAGCCATATTAAAATGCAGCATCTTTAAAATCAGCAGTAGCCAATACAAATGAATAGCAATAGCACTTAGACTTATACACCGCTTCATAGTGTTTTACAGCCCTCTCTAAATGGTTTACAGAGTCGGCATATTGCCCCCAAGAATTTGGGTCCTCATTTTACTGACCTCAATAGGATGGAAAGCTGAGTCAACCATGATAAAGCTTGTAACTAACATCTCAATGTGCTATTAACCTATCTCTATATAGAAAGGATACGAAAAGATAAATGTGCTGCTTGAAATTACTCTTTCACACAGTAAGCATCTTACAGATATCACTCATTTTGTGGAAGCCTCCCTTAAGATAACTTGAACTTACATCTCTTGTTTCTTGTCTGAATTTCTCATCATGTCTGACTTGCTAATAAAATGTTTTGGTTTGTCACTGACTAAATGAATAGTTAACCTATTAAATCACCAAATTATTTTACTTTGTCTTCTGACATAGCTGCTTTATCACAAAGATAAGTCGTGACAATGTTTTTTTCTAAGATTCATTATTGTTGACAGATCAAAATTTATAAAGGCTTGGAGATGAGAAGGGAAGAAAGTATTTTGCAGTTCTGACTGTCAAAGCTATTTATTATTAATTATTTCAAACTTGAGAATTGTGTCCTTAGGCTCACATGTGATATTGGCTAAATAAAGATTTTTCTTTTCAAAAGAGGCCCAACTAGTGATGAGTTGCTACTGGTTCACCCCAGATTGGGTGAACCGGTAGCGGCGGTGGGAGGCCCCGACCACCCACCCGGACGTCTCTGCGCGTGTGCAGAAGCTTCTGTGCATGCGCAGAAGCGTTGCATGCGTGAGCACACATGCACCCACGAGCGAACCGGTAGCGACAGGGTTTGAAACCCACTACTGGGCCCAACAGAACAAATCGAGCTTTAATAAACCACTTGTAGCAAGCACAATGGGAACAGAGAACATGGTTGTTGGGGTTCTGGTTATAAGCGTGACCATCCCAATTTAATTAAAAGTCAACTCTTAAAAACAAAGTGTTGTGAAATCATTAAATCTCGCAATATTTCTGTTGTTTATATAGAGATGTTTGACAAGAATGCTGAAATCTAGTTTCAGTATTTTAGATGAGGCATAAGGCATATCCACACTTAACCTTTAAGATGCTCCCATCCTTTGTTTGTGGCAGATTATATAACTCTAAATCAGGGAATGCCAAGAATATGCTAAGTATTCTGAACTCTACAGATTATCAAATCCTTTGTATAGAGTCTTCTTACCTTTCTATAATTGGCAATCACTTCCCTTCCTGTGAGCAGGTCTTCTGAAGCAATGTATTTAGGCAACTACATGCATGCATCCATACATGCACATGTGTGTGTGTGTGTGTCTGTGTAAATCTAAGTGGTATTGCTATTGCTATTTAATGAGCTCATATTCAGAACAACCTTCTTTTGAAATAGTGAAAATATACCATCTGACTCTAATTTTCATTGTATTTGTTTTCTCCGTAATTGGCCTTATACCATGGAGTATGAAAACGTGACATAGACAGAAGTAGAAACTGAACTACTGCAATGCTCTCTACATGGGGCTTCCCTTGAGGAGCACCCGGAGGCTCCAGCTGGTGCAGAATGCAGCCGTGCGGGTACTTATGGGGGTGACATGGCGCTCCCACGCAACACCTCTCCTGCGCGAGCTGCATTGGCTTCCGGTGGTCTTCCGGGTGCGCTTCAAGGTATTGGTTCTCATCTTCAAAGCGCTCCATGGCTTAGGGCCCGGTTACTTACGAGACCACCTTCTGCCACCGATAACCTCCCACCGGCCAATACGCTCCCACAGAGAGGGTCTCCTCAGGGTGCCGTCGGTCAGGCAATGTTGGTTGGCGACCCCCAGGGGAAGAGCCTTCTCTGTGGGGGCACCCGCCCTCTGGAATGAGCTACCCCCAGGGATACGACTGATCCCGGACCTCCGGCCCTTTCGCCGGGCTCTGAAGACTTTTTTATTTCAGCAAGCTGGGCTGGCTTAAAATTTTTAATTGGTTAATTTTATGAGTAAGGGGTTTTAAATTGGGGGAAGCCAATATAGATTTAATTATGTTTTAAAGTATTTTAATGTTTATATTGTATGTTTTTTAATCCTGGCTGTTCACCGCCCCGAGTCCTTTGGGAGAGGGGCGGTATAAAAATTTAATAAAAGAAATGAACTAATTCCATTTATCGTGTTCCCTGTGTGCAGTGTAAGCAGCAGCAAGAACAAGACACATGTTTATGGTGTTCCAGCCTGCACCCTTGAAAGGATGCATCAGGTTAATTAATGTAAGGGATAATGAAAAAAAAAACTTTATTATGTCTCCAATATTATTTTGTGCTATTCATTAGATCC